GAGTGAGTGGGTGGGTGAGTGAGTGGGTGGGTGAGTGAGTGGGTGAGTGAGTGGTTGGGTGAGTGGGTGAATGTGGACACACACACTAGATGAGTCAAGCCAATGTTATTGACGTTCTACCATTCTTACGCGTGGAGAGTTTTTTGGCAACAAATCTGCTGCTAAAGCGCCACCATAACACTGACACTGCACCCATGGGCATAGGCAATTGCATTATACAGTGAGTGGGTGTTGGAGTGGGTGGGTGGGTGAGTGAGTGAATGGGTGGGTGAGTGGGTGGGTGGGTGGCTGGGTGAATGGGTGGGTGGGTGGGTGAGTGGGTGGCTGGCTGGGTGAGTGGGTGAGTGAGTGAGTGGGTGGGTCGGTGAGTGAGTGAGTGGGTGAGTGAGTGGGTGAGTGAGTGAGTGGGTGAGTAAGTGAGTGGGTGAGTGGGTGAGTGGGTGAGTGGGTGAGTGGGTGGGTGGGTGGGTGAGTGGGTGGGTGGGTGGGTGAGTGGGTGGGTGGGTGGTTGAGTGGGTGGGTGGGTGAGTGGGTGGGTGAGTGGGTGGGTGGGTGAGTGGGTGGGTGGGTGAGTGGGTGGGTGGGTGGGTGAGTGGGTGGGTGGGTGGGTGAGTGGGTGGGTGGGTGGGTGTGTGGGTGGGTCTGTGAGTGGGTGGGTGGGTGAGTGAGTGAGTGGGTGGCTGAGTGGGTGAGTGGGCTGTGTGAGTACGACGTTTCGCCGGTAATTACAACCGCCATCATCAGGCGACAGCCAGTTTTGTGAAGTAATCCTTTTCGAAACGTCGTGAGAATTATTTTATTATATTATGTTTTTTTAAAATTGTATTATTTCCCTTCTACGTGACTTTACCGAAAGAACCAAGAAGATGAATCCCTGCAGTCACGAAAGAAGCTTTACATCGAAATTTAATCATCGTCCGTCATCACGTAAAGGCCACAAAAATCTGGCCGTTGCCTGCTGATGTTGGTTGTGATTATCGGCGAAACGTCGTCCTCTGATTGTCAATGTCGTGGATTTGTTCTCGCAACGCTGAACCGGTGTGTTGCTGTACTAGTATACTACACTATACACTACACTATACACTACACTATACACTACTATACTACACTATACACTACACTATACACTACACACACTACACTATACACTACACTACTATACACTACACTACACTATATACTATACTATACACTACACTATACACTACACTATATACTATACTATACACTACACTATACACTATACACTACACTATACACTACACTATACACTATACACTACACTATATACTACACTATACACTACACTATACACTACACTATACACTGTATACTATACTATACACTACACTATATACTACACTATACACTACACTATACACTATACACTACACTATACACTACACTATATACTACACTATATACTATACACTACACTATATACTATACACTACACTATATACTATACACTACACTATACTATACACTACACTATACTATACACTACACTATACTATACACTACACACTATACACTACACACTATACACTACACTAAATACTACACTATACACTACACTATACACTACACTATATACTACACTATACACTACACTATACACTACACTATACACTACACTACTACACTATACACTACACTATACACTATACTATACACACTACACTATACACACTACACTATACTACACTATACACTACACTATACACACTACACTATACACACTACACTATACACTACACTATACACTACTACACTATACACTACACTATATACTATACACTACACTATACACTACACTATACAGGTAGTACGGTCTATGCAAACATGACTCCTTGTAAAAAAAAAGGTGTCAGTTTTGTTGCCAGATATAGAAGGGCAAAAAAACAATTATCATATTTTGTTACCGGCAAATGAGGTTCCAATGGTTAGTTTAAACTTGATGACTCATTAAACCGTTTCTAACTTTTCGTGTAATTGTAACAAATAAACTGATCTGGAATCGGGTCCCTGTTTTTCAAACACCCAACACACAAATGCAGCGTATGGCTGGAGAATTCGCTGTGTGACGAGATTTTATTTTTTATTTTTTTGTTTTTTCCTGGACAGTTAAAAGTGTTATTTTCCTAATAGCTTGTGCCTCTAAAGTACAGGAAGTGGCTGTTATTATTACCCAAAAACTTTGCTTATGTGACCAGCACTTTAGGTGAAGGGATTAGTCGCTCAACCCAGAACTCACTCACTCACTCAACTCAACCACTCACTCACTCAACCACTGACTCACTCACTCACTCAACCCAGAACTCACTCAGTCAACCACTGACTCACTCACTCACCCACAACTCACTCACTCAACCCAGAACTCACTCACTCACTCAACCACTGACTCACTCACTCACTCAACCCAGAACTCACTCACTCAACTACTGACTCACTCACTCACTCAACCCGCAACTCGCTCACTCACTCAACCCAGAACTCACTCACTCAACTACTCACTCACTCACTCAACCACTCACTCAACCCAGAACTCACTCAACCCAGAACTCACTCACTCAACCACTCACTCAACCACTCACTCACTCAACTACTGACTCACTCACTCAACCCACAACTCACTCACTCACTCAACCACTCACTCACTCACTCAACCACTCACTCACTCAACCCACAACTCACTCACTCAACCACTCACTCACTCAACTCAACCACTCACTCGCTCAACCACTCACTCACTCACTCAACCACTCACTCACTCAACCCACAACTCACTCACTCAACCACTCACTCACTCAACTCAACCACTCACTCGCTCAACCCACTCACTCAACCACTGACTCACTCACTCACTCAACCCAGAACTCACTCAGTCAACCACTGACTCACTCACTCACCCACAACTCACTCACTCAACCCAGAACTCACTCACTCACTCAACTCAACCACTGACTCACTCACTCACTCAACCCAGAACTCACTATCTCAACTACTGACTCACTCACTCACTCAACCCGCAACTCGCTCACTCACTCAACCCAGAACTCACTCACTCAACTACTCACTCACTCACTCAACCACTCACTCAACCCAGAACTCACTCACTCAACCACTCACTCACTCAACCACTCACTCACTCAACTCAACCACTCACTCACTCAACCCACAACTCACTCACTCAACCACTCACTCACTCAACTCAACCACTCACTCGCTCAACCACTCACTCACTCACTCAACAACTCACTCACTCAACCCACAACTCACTCACTCAACCACTCACTCCCTCAACTCAACCACTCACTCGCTCAACCCACTCACTCAACCCGCAACTCACTCACTCACTCAACCCAGAACTCACTCACTCAACTACTGACTCACTCACTCACTCAACCCGCAACTCGCTCACTCACTCAACCCAGAACTCACTCACTCAACTACTCACTCACTCACTCAACCACTCACTCAACCCAGAACTCACTCACTCAACCCACAACTCACTCACTCAACCACTCACTCACTCAACTACTGACTCACTCACTCAACCCACAACTCACTCACTCAACCCAGAACTCACTCACTCAACTACTGACTCACTCACTCACTCAACCCGCAACTCGCTCACTCACTCAACCCAGAACTCACTCACTCAACTACTCACTCACTCACTCAACCACTCACTCAACCCAGAACTCACTCACTCAACCCACAACTCACTCACTCAACCACTCACTCAACCACTCACTCACTCAACTACTGACTCACTCACTCAACCCACAACTCACTCACTCAACCCAGAACTCACTCAACCCAGAACTCACTCACTCGCTCAACCCACTCGCTCAACCCACAACCCACTCACTCAACCCACGGGGAACGACTCACGAGGAACGAATCACGAGGAACGACTCACGAGGAACGACTCACAAGGATCGACTCACGAGGAACGACTCACGGGGAACGAATCACGGGGAACGACTCACAATGAACGACTCACAATGAACGACTCACCAAGAACGACTCACAATGAACGACTCACAATGAACGACTCACAATGAACGACTCACCAAGAACGACTCACAATGAACGACTCACAATGAACGACTCACCAAGAACGACTCACAATGAACGACTCACAATAAACGACTCACGACTCAATAAACGACTCACAATGAACGACTAAATGAACGACTAAATGAACGACTCAATGAACGACTCACAATGAACGACTCACAATGAACGACTCACAATGAACGACTCACAATGATGAACGACTCAATGATGAACGACTCACAAAGAACGACTCAATGATGAACGACTCACAATGATGAACGAATCACAATGAACGACTCACAAAAAACGACTCACGATGATGAACGACTCAATGATGAACGACTCAATGATGAACGACTCACAATAATGAACGACTCACAAAGAACGACTCACAATGATGAACGACTCACAATGATGAACGACTCACAAAGAACGACTCACAAAGAACGACTCACAAAGAACGACTCACAATGAACGACTCACAATGATGAACGACTCACAATGATGAACGACTCACAATGATGAACGACTCACAAAGAACGACTCAATGATGAACGACTCACAAAGAACGACTCAATGATGAACGACTCACAATGATGAACGACTCACAAAGAACGACTCACAATCATGAACGACTCACGATGAACGACTCACAATGATGAACGACTCAATGATGAACGACTCACAATGATGAACAACTCACAATGATGAACAACTCAATGATGAACGACTCACGATGAACGACTCACAATGAACGACTCACAATGAACGACTCACAATGAACGACTCACAATGAACGACTCACAATGAACGACTCACATTGAACGACTCACAAAACGACTCACAATGATGAACGACTCAATGATGAACGACTCAATGATGAACGACTCACAAAGAACGACTCACAAAGAACGACTCCGACGCTCCCTTACCCAGAAAACGAAATTGAAGGCGAACAGCAGATACTTGACGCATTTGAGGCAACCCTGCACACCCATGGTGACGGCGAGTTGGTGGACAAGGTGGTGGACTAGGTGGTGGACTAGGTGGTGGACAAGGTGGGTGGTGGAGGAGGTGAGTGGTGGACAAGGTGAGTGGTGGAGGAGGTGAGTGGTGGACGAGGTGAGTGGTGAACGAGGTGAGTGGTGGAGGAGGTGAGTGGTGGACGAAGTGGGTGGTGGACGAGGTGAGTGGTGGACGAGGTGGGTGGTGGACGAGGTGGTGGACAAGGTGGTGGACGAAGTAGGTGGTGGTGGACAAGGTTTGTTGGGGGGAAGATTTCCGAGCGAATCGAGCAGCGACTACGTCTACGGAGCGAGTGAGTGAGTCAGTCAGAGAGACGAGAGAGATGGTGGTGATTGTGGTGGAGGGCGTGGTGGTGGTGGTGGGGGTGGTGGTGGTGGTGGGGCGTGGAGAGAGGGAGGGGAGAGAGATGATGGTGGTGGTGGTGGGAGGGGAGCGGAGGAAGTGGGTGGGGTGTGTGTTGTGTGTGGGTCTCTGTGTGTGGTCTGTGTAGGGTGTGTGGGTCTCTGTGTGTGGTGTGTGTAGGGTGTGTGGGTCTCTGTGTGTGGTGTGTGTAGGGTGTGTGGGTCTCTGTGTGTGGTGTGTGTAGGGTGTGTGGGTCTCTGTGTGTGGTGTGTGTAGGGTGTGCGGGTCTCTGTGTGTGGTGTGTGTAGGGTGTGCGGGTCTCTGTGTGTGGTGTGTGTAGGGTGTGCGGGTCTCTGTGTGTGGTGTGTGTAGGGTGTGCGGGTCTCTGTGTGTGGTGTGTGTAGGGTGTGTGGGTCTCTGTGTGTGGTGTGTGTAGGGTGTGTGGGTCTCTGTGTGTGGTGTGTGTAGGGTGTGTGGGTCTCTGTGTGTGGTGTGTGTAGGGTGTGTGGGTCTCTGTGTGTGGTGTGTAGGGTGTGTGGGTCTCTGTGTGTGGTGTGTGTAGGGTGTGTGGGTCTCTGTGTGTGGTGTGTGTAGGGTGTGTGGGTCTCTGTGTGTGGTGTGTGTAGGGTGTGCGGGTCTCTGTGTGTGGTGTGTGTAGGGTGTGCGGGTCTCTGTGTGTGGTGTGTGTAGGGTGTGCGGGTCTCTGTGTGTGGTGTGTGTAGGGTGTGTGGGTCTCTGTGTGTGGTGTGTGTAGGGTGTGTGGGTCTCTGTGTGTGGTGTGTGTAGGGTGTGTGGGTCTCTGTGTGTGGTGTGTGTAGGGTGTGCGGGTCTCTGTGTGTGGTGTGTGTAGGGTGTGTGGGTCTCTGTGTGTGGTGTGTGTAGGGTGTGTGGGTCTCTGTGTGTGGTCTGTGTAGGGTGTGTGGGTCTCTGTGTGTGGTGTGTGTAGGGTGTGTGGGTCTCTGTGTGTGGTGTGTGTAGGGTGTGTGGGTCTCTGTGTGTGGTGTGTGTAGGGTGTGTGGGTCTCTGTGTGTGGTGTGTGTAGGGTGTGCGGGTCTCTGTGTGTGGTGTGTGTAGGGTGTGCGGGTCTCTGTGTGTGGTGTGTGTAGGGTGTGCGGGTCTCTGTGTGTGGTGTGTGTAGGGTGTGCGGGTCTCTGTGTGTGGTGTGTGTAGGGTGTGTGGGTCTCTGTGTGTGGTGTGTGTAGGGTGTGTGGGTCTCTGTGTGTGGTGTGTGTAGGGTGTGTGGGTCTCTGTGTGTGGTGTGTGTAGGGTGTGTGGGTCTCTGTGTGTGGTGTGTGTAGGGGTGTGTGGGTCTCTGTGTGTGGTGTGTGTAGGGTGTGTGGGTCTCTGTGTGTGGTGTGTGTAGGGTGTGTGGGTCTCTGTGTGTGGGTGTGTGTAGGGTGTGCGGGTCTCTGTGTGTGGTGTGTGTAGGGTGTGTGGGTCTCTGTGTGTGGTGTGTGTAGGGTGTGGCGGGTCTCTGTGTGTGGTGTGTGTAGGGTGTGTGGGTCTCTGTGTGTGGTGTGTGTAGGGGTGTGGGTCTCTGTGTGTGGTGTGTGTAGGGTGTGTGGGTCTCTGTGTGTGGTGTGTGTAGGGTGTGTGGGTCTCTGTGTGTGGTGTGTGTAGGGTGTGGGGGTCTCTGTGTGTGGTGTGTGTAGGGTGTGTGGGTCTCTGTGTGTGGTGTGTGTAGGGTGTGTGGGTCTCTGTGTGTGGTGTGTGTAGGGGTGTGTGGGTCTCTGTGTGTGGTGTGTGTAAGGGTGTGTGGGTCTCTGTGTGTGGTGTGTGTAGGGTGTGTGGGTCTCTGTGTGTGGTGTGTGTAGGGTGTGTGGGTCTCTGTGTGTGGTGTGGTGTAGGGTGTGTGGGTCTCTGTGTGTGGTGTGTGGTAGGGTGTGTGGGTCCTCTGTGTGTGTGTGTGTAGGGTGTGTGGGTCTCTGTGTGTGGTGTGTGTAGGGTGGTGGTCCTCTGTGTGTGGTGTGTGTAGGGTGTGTGGGTCCCTGTGTGTGGTGTGTGTAGGGTGTGTGGGTCTCTGTGTGTGGGTGTGGTGTAGGGTGTGTGGGTCTCTGTGTGTGGTGTGGTAGGGTGTGTGGGTCTACTGTGTGTGGTGTGTGTAGGGTGTGTGGGTCTCTGTGTGTGGTGTGTGTAGGGTGTGTGGGTCTCTGTGTGTGGTGTGTGTAGGGTGTGTGGGTCTCTGTGTGTGGTGTGTGTAGGGGTGTGGGTCTCTGTGTGTGGTGTGTGTAGGGTGTGGGGTCTCTGTGTGTGGTGTGTGTAGGGTGTGTGGGTCTCTGTGTGTGGTGTGTGTAGGGTGTGTGGGTCTCTGTGTGTGGTGTGTGTAGGGTGTGTGGTCTCTGTGTGTGGGTGTGTGTAGGGTGTGTGGGTCTCTGTGTGTGGTGTGGTGTAGGGTGTGTGGGTCTCTGTGTGTGGTGTGTGTAGGGTGTGTGGGTCTCTGTGGTGTGGTGGTGTGTAGGGTGTGTGGGTCTCTGTGTGTGGCTGTGTGTAGGGTGTGTGGGTCTCTGTGTGTGGTGTGTGTAGGGTGTGTGGGTCTCTGGTGTGGTGTGTGTAGGGTGTGTGGGTCCTCTGTGTGTGGTGTGTGGTAGGGTGTGTGGGTCTCTGTGTGTGGTGTGTGTAGGGTGTGGGTCTCTGGGTGGGTGTGTAGGGTGTGTGGGTCCTCTGTGTGTGGTGTGTGTAGGGTGTGTGGGTCTCTGTGTGTGGTGTGTTGTAGGGTGTGTGGGGTCTCTGTGTGTGGTGTGTGGTAGGGTGTGTGGGTCTCTGTGTGTGGTGTGTGTAGGTGTGTGGGTCTCTGTGTGTGGTGTGTGTAGGGTGTGTGGGTCTCTGTGTGTGGTGTGTGTAGGGTGTGGTGGTCCTCTGTGTTGGTGTGTGTAGGGTGTGTGGGTCTCTGGGTGTGGGTGTGTGGTAGGGTGTGTGGGTCTCTGTGTGTGGGTGTGTGTAGGGTGTGTGGGGTCTCTGTGTGTGGTGTGTGTAGGGTGGTGTGGGTCTCTGTGTGTGGGTGTGTAGGGGTGTGTGGGTCTCTGTGTGTGGTGTGTGTAGGGTGTGTGGGTCCTCTGTGTGTGGTGTGTGTATGGTGTGTGGGTCTCTGTGTGTGTGTGTGTAGGGTGTGTGGGTCTCTGTGTGTGGGGTGTGTAGGGTTAGGGTGTGTGGGTCTCTGTGTGTGGTGTGTGTAGGGTGTGTGGGTCCTCTGTGTGTGGTGTGTGTAGGGTGTGTGGGGTCTCTGTGTGTGGTGTGTGTAGGGTGTGTGGGTCCTCTGTGTGTGTGTGTGTAGGGTGTGTGTGTCTCTGTGTGTGGTGTGGTGTAGGGTGTGTGGGTCTCTGTGTGTGGTGTGTGTAGGGTGTGTGGGTCTCTGTGTGTGGTGTGTGTAGGGTGTGTGGGTCTCTGTGTGGTGTGTGTAGGGTTGTGGGGGTCTCTGTGTGGTGGTGTGTGTAGGGTGTGTGGGTCCTCTGTGTGTGGTGTGTGTAGGGTGTGTGGGGTCTCTGTGTGTGGTGTGTGTAGGGTGTGTGGGTCTCGTGTGTGGTGTGTGTAGGGTGGTGTGGGTCTCTGTGTGTGGTGTGTGTAGGGTGTGTGGTCTCTGTGTGTGGTGTGTGTAGGGTGTGTGGGTCCTGTGTGTGGTGTGTGTATGGTGTGTGGGTCTCTGTGTGTGGTGTGTGTAGTGTGGTGTAGGGTGTGGGTCTCTGTGTGTGGTGTGTAGGGTGTGTGGGTCTCTGTGTGTGGGTGTGTAGGGTGTGTGGGTCTCTGTGTGTGTGTGTGTAGGGTGTGTGGGTCTCTGTGTGTGGTGTGTAGGGTGTGTGGGTCTCTGTGTGTGGTGTGTGTAGGGTGTGTGGGTCTCTGTGTGTGGTGTGTGTAGGGTGTGTGGGTCTCTGTGTGTGGTGTGTGTAGGGTGTGTGGGTCTCTGTGTGTGGTGTGTGTAGGGTGTGGGGTCTCTGTGTGTGGTGTGTGTAGGGTGTGTGGGTCTCTGTGTGTGGTGTGTGTAGGGTGTGTGGGTCTCTGTGTGTGGTGTGTGTAGGTGTGTGGGTCTCTGTGTGTGGTGTGTGTAGGGTGTGTGGGTCTCTGTGTGTGGTGTGTGTAGGGTGTGTGGGTCTCTGTGTGTGGGAGTGTGTAGGGTGTGTGGGTCTCTGTGTGTGGTGTGTGTAGGGTGTGTGGGTCTCTGTGTGTGGCGTGTGTAGGGTGGTGGGGGTCTCTGTGTGTGGTGTGTGTAGGGTGTGTGGGGTCTCTGTGTGTGGTGTGTGTAGGGTGTGTGGGTCCTCTGTGTGTGGTGTGTGTAGGGTGTGTGGGTCTCTGTGTGTGGTGTGTGTAGGGTGTGTGGGTCTCTGTGTGTGGTGTGTGTAGGGTGTGTGGGTCTCTGTGTGTGGTGTGTGTAGGGTGTGTGGGTCTCTGTGTGTGGTGTGTGTAGGGTGTGCGGGTCTCTGTGTGTGGTGTGTGTAGGGTGTGCGGGTCTCTGTGTGTGGTGTGTGTAGGGTGTGTGGGTCTCTGTGTGTGGTGTGTGTAGGGTGTGTGGGTCTCTGTGTGTGGTGTGTGTAGGGTGTGTGGGTCTCTGTGTGTGGTGTTGTAGGGTGTGTGGGTCTCTGTGTGTGGTGTGTGTAGGGTGTGTGGGTCTCTGTGTGTGGTGTGTGTAGGGTGTGTGGGTCTCTGTGTGTGGTGTGTGTAGGGTGTGTGGGTCTCTGTGTGTGGTGTGTGTAGGGTGTGTGGGTATCTGTGTGGTGTGTGGGTGTTAGAGGTGTGTGGGTCTCTGGGTGTGGTGGTGTGTAGGGTGTGTGGGTCTCTGTGTGTGGTGTGTGTAGGGTGTGTGGGTCTCTGTGTGTGGTGTGTGTAGGGTGTGCGGGGTCTCTGTTGGGTGGTGTGTGTAGGGTGTGTGGGTCTACCTGGGGGTGGTGTGTGTAGGGGTGTGCGGGTCTCTGTGTGTGTTGTGTGTAGGGTGTGCGGGGCTCTGTGTGTGGTGTGTGTAGGGTGTGCGGGTCTAGGTGTGTGTGTGTAGGGTGTGCGGTCTCTGTGGTGTGGTGTGTGTAGGGTGTGTGGGTCTGCTGTGTTGTGGTGT